TTGTCGGTGACGGACGGAGAAGACGTACGTGGACGGAGACAAGCGGAGGAGTAGCGGTGGATGTGGAACAGCTCTCTTTGATTTCCATGAAAGACAAGCGCTCTGCACGACGTACGTCAGCGGGGCGGAGCGGACCGGAGCGCTGACGGACTATGTGGAATCTGGGGGTAAGAACCTGTCACACCACAAGAAACACGTTCGTTTGGTTCTCCAAAGATTTCTCAAAAACAAACTTTTTGTCAAGGCTGAAAAATGTGAATTTCATTAACCTTCTGTCACCTTTCTAGGATTTGTGCTCGAGGGCGGGCAGGTGAAGCCATCGGAGGACAAGATTAAAGCAGTTCTGGACTGGCCTACCCCCGAGAATCGCAAACAACTCCAAAGGTTTTTGGGTTTTGCAAATTTTTACAGGAGGTTCATAAGAAATTACAGTCAGACAGTCCAGCCACTCACCGCTTTGACATCAGTCAAAAGAACTTTCCACTGGTCTGCTGAGGCTGAGACCGCATTCAATAAACTCAAGGCTCTTTTTTCCAGTGCACCCATTCTTATTCAACCTGACCCCTCTAAACAGTTCATTTTAGAGGTGGCTGCATCTGACTCTGGAGTGGGAGCAGTCTTATCCCAGCAATCTGACTCTGATAACAAGACTCACCCATGCGCCTTCTTTTCTCGCAGGCTTTCTCCAGCTGAGCAAAACTATGATGTCGGCGATAGAGAACTTCTGGCTATCAAATTGGCTCTGGAGGAGTGGCGGCATTGCCTAGAGGGCGCTGAACACCCCGTGTTGGTATGGACTGACCACAAAAACCTATCCTATATCCAGTCTGTCAAAAGGTCAAACCCACGTCAATCCCGCTGGTCTCTGTTCTTTTCTCGGTTTAATCTGATAATTTCCTACAGACCCGGATCCAAGAATGTTAAACCTGACTCTCTTTCTCGCCTGTACCCGCCTGATAAACCTGAAACACCTGATTCTGTCCTTCCTGCCAGCTGCACCGTTGCAACCGTTTCCTGGGAGATCTCTGACCTGATAAATCTTGCCCTAGTTTCTGAACCTGACCCAGGAAATGGACCTCCAAAACCGAACGTACGTACCCACCTCTGTAAGATCTCGACTAATCCATTGGATGCATTCTGCCAAGTTTTCAGCCCATCCAGGTGTTAGCAGAACCATTGCCCTCATCACTCGCCGTTTCTGGTGGCCGTCCCTCCACAAGGGCGTAAAAGAATACGTTCTGGCCTGTCCCATCTGCGCCAGGAGCAAACCATCTCATCAGCCTCCCTCTGGTCTGCTTCACCCCTTACCTGTTCCGTCTCGACCCTGTCCCACATAGCGGTGGATTTTGTAACCAGCCTTCCTGTCTCCAAGGGTATGACTACAGTACTCACAATCATTGACCGCTTCTCTAAGACCTGCCATCTTGTTCCCCTCAGGAAGCTCCCAACAGCCTTCCAAACAGCTCAACTGCTCATAAAACACGTTTTCCGACTCCACGGCATCCCTCAGGAGATCCTGTCCGACAGAGGCCCCCAGTTCACAGCTCAGGTCTGGAAGAACTTCTGTTCTGCACTTAACTCCAAAATATCACTTTCCTCAGGTTACCACCCTCAATCCAACGGCCAGACAAAAAGAATGAATCAAGAACTAGAATCCACTCTCCGTTGCCTGACTTCCACCAACCCGACCGATTGGAGTCAATTCCTGCCCTGGGTAGAGTATGGTCACAATTCTCATAAATCATCTGCAACCGGTCTGTCTCCATTTGAAATCTCACTAGGTTACCAGCCACCACTCTTTCCTGCCGATGAAAAAGAAATCTCTGTTCCGTCTGTACACCATCACATCTGCCGCTCCCATAAGATCTGGAAAGACACCATCTCAGCCCTGAACCGGACATCTGCACAAAACAAAAGATTCTCCGACCGTAAATGACGCCCAGCTCCAATCTACTCTCCATGTCTCACAAATCAAGCCTGTTCTGACCAGCCCTTTGTGCCCTCCGTCCGACTCCCCTCCACCCGCCCGGGACATTGATGGTTCCCCTGTCTTCACCGTTCGCCAGATCGTGGACTCCCGTCGCCGGGGCCACGGTTGGCAGTACCTGGTCGACTGGGAGGAGTACGGTCCGGAGGACCGCATCTGGGTTCCGGGATCCTTTATCCTGGATCCCCTCCCTGATCCCTAATTGTAGTTTTGTTTTTCTTAATGTAGTTGCGCTTTGCTTTATGTAGTTTTGTTTTTCTTAATGTAGTTGCACTTTGCTTTATGTAGTTGCAAATTTCCTTAATGTAGTTGCGCTTTTAGATCTGTAGTTGCAGTTTGCACTTCAGGGCCACCGTACTTAACTGTATAAGCAGCTAATCATAACAGAGATGTAGCCTTATGAAACTTAATCTATGAAGTACATGAATACATATGTAATTATACTGCATAATGGGGTTATAGTAAATGAGAATTAAAAAAAAAATACATGCTGATTTAACAAAGCTACAAAGATCAAATCTTGTCAAACAGTGATGTTCTTTCACCTGCAATTGTTCCTATTAAGCCTGCACAGCTTTTGGTACGGCACCCACAGCCTACAGGAAGTTACTTTCACAATTCATCTTTCCTGTTGAATTAACAGAAAGTATGCAATATCTTATAAAAAGCCAAACGTCAGCGAACTAAATCCTTCCTCATTAGAGATGTAAGGCATTTATGTTACTTGAGGAAATTATGACAAGGAGCCCCGTTAGTTATTATTTTATTTGTTTTTGAGGTCTAACAGAAAATCACAAGCAGTTTATTTGGGAGGGGTGGAGTTTGCATTATTTTGTTGTTCTGTCTTACTGAAGAGCAACAATGAGAAAAGTCATAGGATGATATCTTTAAAATGAAGGCATTAAAGGTATAGTAGAGGATTTTCTTTTGCCGGGTGGATCATCAAAATAAGTGGTCCTCCTAATTGTCAATCATTCTGGTGATATGCTACCTAAGGCCATCCTACGTGCTGGTCCCCAGTTTCACTTACTGGTGGTGAGTCTGACATAGTGTAAAAATTCCAAATCTTCTTTTGGGAAGTAAGCTTGTATGAGCGATGCAAACAGCAATTTTTAAACAGAGCGTGCACGAGGAGATATTGGCTCGTGCACGCTCTTGCACGCTTTTAATAGGCGTTCCATCTTGGGAGCGGGCACAGGGTTGTGCATGAGCATTTTTTTTTTTTTTTTTTTATGTGGAGAGGGTGGGTCTTTTCAAAAATTTGCGAAAAATCCTCTACTATACCTTTAATATATGTAATTCACAGGATTTCTTTAACACTTAAAAAGATTTAGAAAATTACGGCAACTTCCTGCTTTGGTCCAAAAACAAACACAATTCAATTTGAATGTTTTAGATAAAAAAGCAAAATGTTTTAGAGGAGTGCAGACAAACTCCAGGTCCTGATCTTGTTTGCCCTTTTGGCAAATCTGCAAGAGAGAGAGAAGAGAAAATAAAACACGTAGATGTATAAGGTTTATAGAATTTTACAGTAAAATAGTAATGCAGTGGCAATTAGGCTAAATGCGGAAAAGGCATCACTCTTATTGACAAAATAAGATAAAATAGGGGGGCATACTTAGATCCTTGTTCGCACTACTGCAGGTAATAAAATATCTTATCTTTTAAATTTTAATCACATTATCTACAGTGCAACATCTTTAATCATTAGACATAGAGACTTGCACTTTATTGTAATTTTGTATGCGCAGAGTGTAAACAAAATGAGATTCTGTTGCATACAGCTTACAACAGTGAAATGATATAGCTGTTGGGGTAAGACAAACATTACCATTATAAAGTGCAGCAGTGCTCACATTACAAACAATAAAGGAGAAAAGGAAAGATGATTATTATCATGCTTTGGCACATTATTTGGCACACGGTTAGTTGGCAAATTATCAGACCTGTGAAGAATTACACACAAAACTACAATAAGGCAGCCGTAATTTTCTTCAAGACACTAAAAACTTCCATCACACAAATACTAAAACCCAAATTCTTCACTCACTCCTATTGAGACTGGTTCATTAAACTGTGCTTTGTAAAAAACAAATAAACAAACAGCTACATTTACTTCCAGTCAGAGGAGACTTTTTAATGATGTATTGTGTTTATATATCAGGCAGCTTAGGGATAGGCCCTAATGCTGAAGCAAAGCAGGCACTGGATATATAAGAGATTGTTAATACACCAAATTGCCAGAGTAAAGGAAAACTGGAACAGGCTGTACAGTCGATTAAGGTGTGAACACACGAGTGTTTTTTTTTTTTTTTTTTTTTAACAACATGCATTTTCTTTTGGAATATATGCAGGCTTGCAAAATACGGATTCCATTCTCCTTTTTGCAAAAACGTGAACGGGGGAGATAAGCTGTAAATAAAACATTTGCAGCTATGAGGGAACCTGAAGCTTGAATAGGTTTAAAACCTTTCTTCTTTAACTAAAAGCACTTTCTTCTGTACCCGTTAGGCCTGTACAGAAACAAAAAGCATTAAATAATCTATTGTAATAGCTAAAATAGGCCAACCTATGTATGCTGTTGCTTCATAAATATAATTAGTCAATAATATTATATATATATATATATATATATATATATATATATATATATATATATATATATATATATATTAGACAAACAAAACCAATACGTTTTTATTCTTAACATTGCGTCAAAAAACCCACTGTAAACGTATCACACTTTGCATACTAAAGTAATGTCCCATTAAAAACTCTCAAAGCAAAATTTCATATTTCAAAACAACATAAATTGTTAGTTTGCTCGCATAGACTCCGATAAAAATAAATAATGCATCCGTTTTTGGCATTTACTTAATCATATTTGGTTACTTTAACACATTTGTTTAATATCCTACCCTGTTAACATTAAACAAATGTGTTAAAGTAAGTAAATATGATTAGGTAAATGCCAAAATCGGTTGCATTAATTTTTTAGGCCTTTTACGCGCACCTGTGGCCCTGCGCCATCATGGGCGCAGCTCGCTCCGCGTATTTGGCCCTCTGGGGTCCGCGGTGTGCTCCAGGAGCAGCTTCACCACCTCCTGGTGTCCCTCCCTCTCGGCCAGGTGAAGCGGCAGGTTCCCATGCTGGTCAACGCGGTTGACGTCAGCCCCGTGGTCAATCAGCACGCGGACGGTGTCCACAAAGCCTTCTCGAGCTGCGTCGTGAGTCACGCTGAGATGCCGCACCGGGTCGAGCGCGTTGGGGTCAGCTCCTTTGTCCAGGAGCGCCTCAACTAGTGCGCTGTGCCCCAGTTTCACCACCTCGAGGGTATAAATAAATAAATATATATAAATACATTAATTGAATGAAATTAATTAAAACAATAATTTGACCACCTCCTCATAAGGACATGTGTTCCTGGGTAAAGAAAGTATTTTCATAAAGCAACACTGTTTAGGGGGGATCTAAATTATTTTTATGCCCTCACATTGCCCTTGACCTTTTGGAAATCTAAACTGAGATAAAACAGTCACTTGCATTTTAGAATGAAGAAATTTAGTGGGTTATATGTGTATACACATTTTATAACAAAACACTGACCTCTTTCATTTTCACTAAAAACAGATGTAGGTCTACTTTTCTTATTTATCCTTTAACACATTTGACTAGCTGAGACCACGCCTGAAATATATATATATATATATTTATTTATTTTTTACCAGATATTTTCAGTAATGGCGGTTAAAGATGCATGATTATTTCAAATGCACACATCTTATTAGAGATAATTTGAAAAAACTTATTGGCAGACATGATAAAAGGAACAGACTTAATACTGTACAAAGGGAAAGATGAAACCAAATGAGGAAGTATCTCTCAGCATGTAGCAGCAGGAGTAACCGAAGGAAAAAAAGTATTTACATCTTTAAAAAAAATAGAGCAGAGAAAAAGTAAGGTTTAATACTGACCTGTAAAGCAGTTCTCCCAAATCTGTTTAGACCATTAACATTAGCTCCAGCTTGCAGCAAAAGCAACACTTTCTCTATGTTTCCACTGGCTGAGGCATTGCAGAGGGCATCTGTTAGTGAGTCCATTGTTCATGTAAAAACCTCCAAACACGAATGACTGTAGATTTCAGTGAGATTGGAAGAAGACCTGCACATCACTCTCCCCCCACTGAAATAACTCAAGCACTTCCTGATTGCTACCTCATGATCAGAGGAATTAACTGAAAGCTGGTCAAGATTTATAGAATAACAAACTAAATTGCATGAAGTCAGCTTTTAAATAAATTGAGGAAATTGATTCATTTACACATTCCAAAATATATGTACTTTCACCTAAGTTTAGAATAAAAAACAAGAATGCATAAACATTTATCTTCACAAAGAACAAAAAGATTCCATTATATCTTTGGGTATAAAAGCAGGAAAAGTGTAAATTTTCTGCTGCAAATATACACAGACAACTTTTTTTTTGTGTCTACCTATATTAGGGCCTAATAATGACTTGAAATCCTTTTTGTTTTCTACCTAGCTCTGACATTTACCCTAACCCTCACTTTAATATATACAGTTTTTTTCTGAATCTTAGACTTTTCAGTTACAGCTCAAAGTTGTACACTGAAAAAAAAAATCTAAACCTAGATAAGTCAATTTTTCTTAAAACAAGTGCATTTGTTCTTGGATTGAGGAGTTAAAAGAGACATTTTGCCACGGAACAAGACAATTTACACTTGAAATAAGAAAACACAATTGAACTGTCTTATTTCAAGTGCATATTATCTAAAAACACTCATTCAATTGGCAAATCATTTCATTTACCTACTCAAATTAAGGTTAAAGCCCTTAATTTAAGAAATGTTTTACTTGTTTCTAGATCGTTTTTCGAGTGTATATATATATATATATAGTTACAGCCCATAGTAGTTATATATATAGACAAATACTTTGAGCTGTAACTGAATAATCTATTTATGTATACATAGCCTATATATATATATATATATATATATATATATATATATATGTTATTGGTATATATATTGGTATATGTTTCTACCTTTGCATGCATATTTTAGTCAATCGAAACAAATGTTAACTTTAAACTTACAACATATATCTGGGTATTTTGGTAAATATGTCTTCTGTATTTTATTTTATTTTTTTTGCCATTTGTAAGTTTTGATTATTTCCTACATTTATTTAAGCATCCAGAATAATCATGTTCTCAACATCTATAACAGCGTTTATTCAACATGTTAAAAATGTTGCCTGTTAATCAGTTTGTGAGTTAATATTAAGCTGAAATGTTTACACTGAATAACATCCATGAGGAGAAGCAGCTGTTAGAAATTTGTTTAATTTGCATCATACAGCCTTCATGTAATATTACCGCAAACATAATGAAAATAAAAGTTACTTAAAACGAGAGATAACAGCAGGCACATCTAACACATATTGGTCATAAGGTGATATTTTAACTTATTAAAACAGATCATATATCATAAACAGGCCGAAAAACAAAATGACTGACTGGGCTATAGGGGAAAAAAAGCTGCACCCAATATGATGTCATTAACTGTCACTTCCCGCTCTTTTTTAAACAATAATCACAACAGAAATCTTACTGTATTTGTGCTTCATCCTTAGATCCTCAATTTAGGAGGGAATTATCGCTGAATCATTGCAGGTTTCATTTTCTCTCCAGAAATGACTCATTCGGGTCTCAGATGATGCTGTCACACCATCATCCCACAGATAATTAGAATAATAATAATGTTCAGAGATCGAAGATTCCTCATTCATTCAATATGCATTTTAAGAATGCCTTCGAAAGGTTTCTAAAATGCCTGACGTTTGGACGTTTTGTTTGAACTTCTCTTCAAAAACAGCTCAGATGGCCTGATTGGACAGTACAAAAAGGGGTGTGAACCGAAAGCTGGAAAAAAAAAGAAAGAAAGAAACCATCTTGTATCAACATGACAACATGGAGAAATGGGGGATTCAGGAAATGGAGGATTTAGTCCATAGAGGATCAGTAATCTGACAGAAAGCAACTGGACATTTTCTCAGCCTTATAATCACCAAGAAGTCATCAAAGAAACAAAAAAGTTTTTATAAGTTCATTTTAGCGATAAATGCTTCTGTTTCATAGCTCAATGCCTCCCTCTACTGGACATTTGAGATATTACATAAGTAGTTTATTGGAGATAAATCAGTGTATGAATAACAATATATCTTTTCATTTAATCGTTAATGTACGGAAGAAGATTAAGGCCACTGAAAAAACAAAAAAAGTTAACTTGTTTTTAAATTTTATTTCAGTATAATATGAGGAAAAGGTCAGAATACTGACTTTAATCTCAGAATTCTGACTTTTTTCTCAGAATTCTGACTTAAATATCATAATTCTGGCTAAAAACTCAGAATTCTGACTTTAATGTCAGAATTTTGGATCTTAATGTAGATGGGCACCATGAAGAAACAGATGTGGGAGCGCTCAGCTTCCTGACAAAGATGTGAGTTGTTTGAGAGGGCCAGTAACACATTAGTGGAAAATGACAAAATTAGGTGACTTCTCACGTGCACGAGGAGTCCCCAGTGATGATATTTCATTAATGGAAGAACAGAAGGTGATTAAAATAAGAGGGCCAATCTCTAAAGCACACATGGCTACAGCTTGATGCTAACAGGTAATTAGCTGTCAGAATTCAGTCAGAATTCTGAGAAAAAAGTCAGAATTCTGAGAGAAAAAAAGTCAGCATAGCAATTAACGGAAAAAAACCTGTACTCAGAATTCTGAGAATAAAGTCAGAATTCTGACTTTTTTCCCTATATTAAACTGAAATAATATTTAAAAATCGGTTAACTTTTTTTATACTTTCAGTGGCCCTAATCCTCTTCTGTATTAATGTTTCGTTCATTAAGGGATTAAAATACTTTTTTTTTCTTTTTCCCCTTTCATTTCTTTCTTTCTATTTGTGTCCTGTCTGGCAATGTGGCAATATGAATTGTTGTCATAATGCCAGAAAGAGCTCAACAGATTTTCCTTTTGCAAGTGGAGCATTATCGCTTTTGCCATAGTGCTCTGCTTGATTTATATATGCAAATAGTTTTGTTTTTTATTTATGTAGGGAATAATTAGTTTTATGTGCACATTATAAAAAAGAAGTGAAAATATTGACAAGACTTCATCCATCACCTGTAAAGAGAGATGTAAATAGAACAGCACAACCAACTGATATTGAACTGCAGATACGATACAACATACAGTATTAATCAATACGGAATGCATGAAGTGGCTGAAGATAAAAATCAGCCAGTATGTAAGTAACCAGCTCCAAGCACAGGGGTGGAGCTAGATCAAATTAAAAAGTGTGAACCACTGTGTGCCACCATCTAAAGGATTAGTTTGCTGTTGCATGTAGATAAGTGGCCACAGAAACGGAATTTCAAATTCATGCAATAAAAAAAAAGAAAACCTACTCCAAATTGCAACTTCACAAGCAAATTGTTTAATTTGATAAAAATAGAGATACATTCATAATGAATCTACAGAAAGGTAAGGATATATGTTACAGTGTGTGGGAACCTGGCTGGGGATAATATTTCAGAGCTTTTTATGAGTCTCTTGCATTCAATTTCACATTTCCTGTGAAATATCTATAAAAAAAAGTAGATATTGTCAGGAAAGTATAATCTCTCATTACCTGTAAAAATCACGCTCCCTGCTGCTGTATGGAAGTAAATCTGTGTCGCTGGGATTTGAATTAAAAATGCCACTGAAATTTAAATTTTGTTTTTTTTTTGTACTCACTGTGACACAGATATACTTCCATATTCCATACTGTTGGCATCTGGTACATCTCACCCCCCACTCTGCTTTATTATGACAATAAACATGTAAAACATGTGGAAAGCAACTTTTTTTAAATAGAGAAGCAGTAAAATGTGTAAAATATGTCAAATATATATTTTTTTTATCTCTTTCCTGACTCTCCTGTGACCAAATGACTTATTTTAAATATGTGGAGAGCCATTTTGATCTCAAATTTGCCCATAAATAGAATAGGATTGGGTTTATTCCAAGGATGAACTAACCAGCAATTAATGCCACAGATATCCACCTCTGAAATTAATGTTAACTAGATTGATTGATGTTGGAATGATTGACTTTGTCTAATCTAATATGCAAACAACGTTACACAACTTACAGGGATTGCAGGTGAAGCTTTTCAGTCATCCAGGTCATAGTCATTCCAAAAAAGTAATAATAAAAAAAAACAATCCACTGGACTTTGTTTCTAAATTTGAAGATGTTTCGCTTTTCAATCCAGGAAGGTTTTTCAATTTAAAATGTCAGAAATAGCGTTGAGCTCGAGGCTATATAGAGGGGAACAAAAACAAAGCCTTGTTTTGGCTTAGAAAATGTGCAGATTGAATTGGGTCTGCCCCTTGGGAATGGGCAGTCGTTGGGTTTTTTGTTAACGTGCAATACCCGATACCTGTCTTTGTCTCTGAAAGGGGTTTCATTAAAGGGAATTGTTTTCTGAACAGGGTGATGCTCTGCTCCCCTACATGGGAGTGTAGGCCACAACCAAATGAAAAACGATATTCTTTGAGGACAATAATGTTCACATTTTGGACAAAGAACACAGGTGGGTTGAGCGGGGCGTGAAGGAAGCCATCTATGTTAAAAAACCAACACTAAAAGGGGGGGGGGGTACGGACTCAGATTTCAGCTTACAAAAACCTACAATACAGCGATACAGTTGATTCCATCCTGCTATCATCCCGGTCCCCACCCCCAAATAGGGGAGCAGATCACCTCTCTGTTCAGACAAGCCAACAATTCCCTCCAATGACCTCCCTTTCAGAGACAAAAGCCCCATTTACACTACCCTCAAAAAACTGATCTGTCATGAGCTCTGTTCCTTAAGACCATTTACACACCGCACAAGCACGGTTCCCTGCCTCCTGCTGAAGCTTTCTAGAGGTAAACAAACAAACCATGGCATGGCAGAAGAAGAAGGCCTATGGTGAATTTACTTGACAGTTGGCTTTTGGGAAGTGGATACGACAAACGTTAGTCTAATCAGGGCTTACAGACGCAGGAAACAACAGCAGGAGTTAAGGTTCATCACACTGCTAAGCAGAATCATCACTGGAAATCATGTGGCATGGTAGGAAAGTTAGTACTTTTATGAATGTCTGAAACTTCATGATTACAGAAGTTGACTGTAAGGAGATGAAGCGGTCTGCTCATGCACTCTTTGTTATCAGAGAACCGAACCAGAACTGAACCACGCCGAGCCCTACTGATGAACTAGTACCATATTAGCATGGTTCGGTTGTGTCTGGCATGGTCCGGTTCAGTTCTGCATACCATTTACACTCAACAGTTATCTCAGTTACTGTCCTCGGACTGATCTCCGTACCGTTTAAAAGGGTAGTGTAAATGGGGCTAAAGACATGTATTGGGTATTGCAGGCTAAAAAAGTACCGAACAACTGCCCATTCCCATTCCCAAGGGGGGGATCCGTTTGCCCGGTTCAATTTGCATGTTTTCGAAGCCAAAACTAGGCTTTGTTTTTGGTCTACTCTATAAAGCCTCAGACTCAACGCTATTTCTGACATTTTGAATTGAAAAAGTTTCCTGGATGGGAAGTGAAACGTCTTCAAACTTGAACGGATTGTTTTTTTTTACATTTTGGAAACTTACACGGATTGTTTGGAAAAAAATCTTTTTTTCTGTCAAAAGTTCAAATATGAAGTGTGTTGGATCCCCCACATCACCAACAGGTGAGAAGCTCATGGCTATTAGCTCAGTTAGGGGAACTATTGTCACTGCAAGTTTTCTTAGGACAATATCTGAAGATATTTATAACTGTAAATGTGAAAACTACTCTTTATTTACCTTCACTAGCATTATTTGTTAAGTGATGTTTGTTGCACGTAGTTAATACATTAAAGTGTGGTGTTATAGTGCCATCTATGGGATTTTCATTGTTACTGCAAGCCAATTTTCATACCACTGATATGGGGTTTTCTTTTCAATTGCTGCTCCAAATTTTTAAACCCCGCTCCTCCTTAGACAATCCTCTTCACTGTCTATTTGTCAAACTCTAGAAATTGTAAACACCTTTATTATTTGGCTTTTAACACAGCATGAGACTCTGTTTTTGTGTGTGTGGTTTGTTTTAATGTTTTTTATATGGTTTTATTTGTTTCACATAATATGTTTTATTCTGTTTGTTTTATTCCTTGACACTTATGTTGTTTTTATAGAAGTTTAACTTAACTCTGTATGTTCAGCACTTTGTGGCAGCTGTGGTTGTTTTGAAGAGTAAATAAAGTTGAGTTGGTACATACTTTACTACATCTGCTTTCTGTTCTAGATACCCACGCATCTGCACACATAGAAATACTAATATTAGTGTCTGTACCTTCCTTTTTTCCCATTAACCTGTTATTAATATCTCTTCAATAAATCTTCTAAGCTGCAACATTGGAGTTAGCCTTTTCCTTCTGACTGAGAAAAATGCCATCAGCACATGTAAGACACATAAGCATCTCTTACAGGTATGATAGAGACATGGTTGTTCTTTACATGTGCACTATGAATAAGTGTGTAAAGAAATGGTCAAAATTTTATATTAAAAGTTTAATGATGATTCATGTAGTTTAGTAATAGGATATTATTGGGTCACATGCCTTATTTTTACATGCTCATTGCAGTTAAGTTACATTGTTACAACTTGGTGTTC